CGCATATGTTCTTTGCGGATGATGCTCTTATATTTCTGAGAGCAAATGAGAAGAATTGCCGCAATATTATCCAACTCCTTGAATTGTATTGTGAGGTTTCGGGTCAAAAAGTGAACCTTAATAAGTCGAGTGTTTTCTTTGGCGCAAATGTACATGTTGACTACTCCACTCTTTTGGGCAATATCCTTGGTATGAAGGTGGTTGATAACCCGGGTGCTTATTTGGGTGTCCCGGCTATATGGGGGCGTTAAAAAAAAAAGAGGTTTAGCCTATGTAAAGGGGCGCGTGATGGAGAAGCTCCAAGGTTGGAAACAGAATTCTTTATCTCGAGTGGGGAAAGAAGTTCTAATTAAAGCTGTGGTCCAAGCTATTCCTGCCTACCCAATAAATATTTTTAAGTTTCCGGCCATTGTATGTCAGGAACTAGATTCTCTGGTTTCGAATTTTTGGTGGGGGAGCAAGGATAGGGTTCGAAAAACTCATTGGGTTCATAAGTCTATTCTTGGGCTTCCAAAGTCTCGGGGTGGCTTGGGCTTTCGGAATTTTCAAGAATTCAATAAAGCTTTACTAATGAAGCAATGTTGGAGATTGGTAATTGAACCAAATTCTCTATGGGCTCATGTGATCAAAGCTCGCTATTTCCCTCACTGTTCTTTTTGGGAGGCTAGAAAAGGAGGTCGAGCTTCGTGGGCATGGGCTAGTCTTCTCTCAGTTAGAGATTTGCTTCATAAGGGTTCCCATTAGCAAATAATGGGAGGGCAAGATGTCAAGGTTTGGAGTGATAGGTGGCTGCCCTCGATTCCTTCAGGACACCCGAAGCCTATGGGACAACAGAGTGTATCGCCAAATCTCAGAGTTTATTCGCTAATATGCCCGATATCAAGTTGTTGGGATATTGGTTTTTTGCAAGCTTTTCTCTCTGAAGCGGATCAAAGGGTTATTGAGGCTACTCTCATTGGTGTTTTAAGTCGTAAGGATAGACTTGTGTGGGCTCCAAACAAGAAGGGTATCTACTCGGTTAAGTCGGGGTACAATTGGTTACTAAACAGTGTTGTGGACAAGAGGGGGTTTAGCCCTACTTTAATTAATCAACTCCCTCATATTTTTTGGAAACATTTATGAAAGCTAGGGGTGCATCCTAAGATCCGGCACTTTATTTGGATCTCGGTTCACGGTGGGCTTCCCACCTGTGTTACTCTCTATCGCCATAAATATGGCCCTTCCCCTGTGTGTCCTATCTGTTTGTGCCAGGATGAATCTCTTGAGCACATCTTCCTCCTTTGTACTTGGGTTCGCCCTATCTGGTTTGGCGGCGCGCTCTCTTACAAAGTGGATGGTGAAGCTATTTCTTCGTGGGGTGGGTGGTGCAAGGATGTATTTTTGCCAACGTTTAGATCGACTTCAAGCAGAAATTGGGTCCAATCTTACATTGCTTTCACTTGTTTGTTCATTTGGAAAGCTTGTTGTGATTTTGTGTTTAATAAGGTTCCATTGAACTCGGTTTCAGTTCTTCTAAAAATTTCAGCTGCACTTAGTTATTTTTTGAAGGCTAATTCTGGCGTGGAGCCGTGTGAAGTGACGAGTTTTACTTCGGCTCCTCGGGTTGCCTCTTGGTGTGCTCTGTATGATCCTTGTTTTAAGATAAATGTGGATGCTAGCTGGTCGATAGTCACTCAACGAAGTTTCGCTGGGGTGGTGGTGCGTGCTGTTGAAGGAAGATTTATAGCGGCTGCGCGCTACCCTATTTGAGCTCCATTTGCCATCACTGCGGAAGCCCTTGCCTTGTTTCATGGGTGCATGTTAGGGTTGAAGCTTGGTTTTCAGAAGGTCATTTTCGAATCGGACTCGTTAGAAGTCATTTCTTATCTTTCTAGTTCTGTTGTTAACAACTGGGAGGCTTCCCCTACATTGGAGAGGATTAGATTGTTGGGGAGTTCTTTTCAGAGTTGTCGTTGGTCTTGGGTTCCGAGATCAGCTAATGAAGCAGCGCACGTTTTGGCGTTGCATAATTTGTCGGAGATAAGTGATTCTGTTTGGGTTGTTCGACCCCCGTCTTCGTTGGTATTCGTCCTAAACAATGACGGCCTCCCTTGTCCACATTAATTCTCGTTTGTTTTTTCGGTGCTGGGGTGACACTTTCACAAGGTGGAAGTGTCCTATTATTTGTAAGCCTTGCACTGTTGTTTCCTGCTCAGGCTCTGCCTCTGTTGTTAGCCTCTTGTAGGCTCTCATGCTGCTGCTTTGTTGATCCTGTCTTGTTTCAATGAAGTGTGTTTCCACTCAAAAAAAAAAAAAAACTAGTACTTTCACTTATGTTGCAAATTAAGTCTTATTTTTTTGGGAATTTTAACAAAAAAACTCACGTTACTGTCCACTCTAAAGAAAAATCATATTTTTATATTAAAAAGTTAATCATAGTACTATTCACTTTACATTTTATTTTGTCATTTTCGTTAAAACTCAAAATTTTCAAGTCATTTTCATTAGTTTTTCCTATTTTTTAAGGTTAAGATAGGAATAACGTAATTGTTGTAATTGAATTATTATTTAAATATTAATTACTGTATTTATCTTTACTAATTAATGAAACCCTCTTTGTCAATCAAAAGATAGTGAAAAGACAAATTAGTCTTCTATCATGCAAAAAAAAATTGATAGGCAATAATGTAATTTCACAGGTCCAAATTTTACTGTTTTTTATTAAAGTCTCACCTACAAGTGATGTTTAAATACCTTCAATATTAAAAAAAAAAAAAAAAACCATCCACTCCCCTACGTTCTCTCTCTCTCTCTCCCTCTCCCTCTCCCCTTCTCATTTTCTAAAAAAAATATGTTCATGCACACAAAATGTGTAAGCAATGCTAATTTTCAATTGATGATACATTACATGACTAGCGAATTTGATTTAAAAATTTAAATTACCTAATATTACTCTTTAAAAAAATTATGAGTCTTGAATTAAATACGGTATACTTTATGATTTGATAAGTGGTTTAGGAACAAATAATCAAACCGTCGTACGTTAAATCCAATCAAATGGACAATGACGTGATTTGAAAAGCAATATCAACATGTGGCCAGACCATATGCTTCACAACCGCAGAAATCTAACTCCAAGAACACGCGATATTAGCTAGTTGGCAAGAAAGGTCTTTATTGAAGGGTGCTATTGTCAGTTGCATATATGTAGATATAATATTAAATATTGAAGTATTTAACGATAAAAAGATATACAGTATTTGAAGCTACACATAAAACTTAACACAAAATTGAGAGTGTTGATGTTCTAAAATTTGTACAATTAACCTCACTTAATGAAATAAAACCTAACTATTGTTGTTTGTTGCATCTGACGATTAGGTGACACTACTTAAAAGATGTGCTTTGCAAATAAATACTTATAAATAACTAGTTCTTAGTATATATATAGGGAATTGTTATTTACACTCCAAACTTTCTATATTTTGAAGAAAAATACACTTGTGAGGAATGTAGAATGAGATTTTTGGAGTGCTAATAACATTTCCCTATATATAATGGTATTTCTCTTTTTAAGTTCAGATCTCTTAGTTCTCGTGCTCAGAAGAAATAAGTGGTCTTATGATTTGGATAATGATTGTTGAAGTTTGTGTATGGAATAGTGGAAGCCATTGTAATTTGTAGCTACTCTTCTCATGTCATATGAATGCGCTCATGTATCATATACATCATGACAATGCTCACGTATTATATAGTGTTTATTTTTTTATCAATGTGATTTTAAACCCACAAAAGTGCATAAATAAGAGTTACCCTAGGAAAAAAGCCGACAATTTAGCACTCCTCTTAACCCTATTACACTTTAAATTGAATATTTTACGATACCTAGTCACACATAAAATGTTAAAATCATTAAAAAGAAAAAGAATTTTATCAAGCGAATTATTATTTTTCCCTTGCTTTTGACCTTTTTTTGGGTAACATAAGGGGTAGATCAACCAAAATTAATTCAATAAGTTATTACAAACCGTTCGGGTCCTAAAACTTTCTTCATCTCATCAAATAAATGAGTTCTAGTATATCTAAATAAATTCCCAAAATAATAATACCTAAAATTTATATTATAATTCCAATTGACAAGATAGTCAACATTTCGTCTTTTATTTATTTATTTTTAACAAACGATATTGTTTACATTAAGGGGGAGTGGGTGAGTTTAGTCTCACAATGGACTATCAATAATGTGGTTCAAGTTCATTTTTGGCGAAAATCAAACCTACAACCTCTCACTTACAAATAAAGAAAAATACTACTAGATTGAAGCACTAAATAACAACTTTTGCCTTCTTTCTTTTTTACCATAGGAGCCAAAAAGAGGGTTACCATAGGGGTCTTTGCCAAGGAGTGAGGATTCTTGTCGGATTCTTTGTGAGAATTTTGAAGATCCTCAAATTATATCCGTTCATCATATATCGTGCGGTCAGAAATCATTATAAATTTTTTTATTTAAAATTGAATATAAACGGTACTTAACGAAAATTGAACGCACAATGCACAATGTACACTGAACGGATGTGAGAATCTCGGGAATTTTCATCATCCGGCTAGGATTCTCTATCTTTACCAAGCACCCAACACAGCTCTCTCTGTTTCCGTAAAAATGCACGTGTCAACGCGTCATAGTGAGCTGGCTCCACAGATTACGTGGCACGCTCCTATTGGCCACAATTATTTAGCGAAGATCCCATCAGAGCCGTCCGTGTGATCCCAGTGAAGCTGACATAATACCTCTGTCTGACCGTTAAGAGAGAGAAGAACAGAGTCTTAAAGAGGAGGAGGAGAGAGAGAGAGAGAGAGAGAGAGAGAGAGAGAGGGTCAGCTTTCTCCAGGTATTTCTTTTTATCTATTTTCCTCTTCAATTTTTCACCTTTTCGTTTCTACTATTCAGTATAATTATTATTAAAATTATTATTATTAATTTAGTTTAATTTAGCTAACTACAGTTCCTGTTGCTCGAATTCAATTGCTTTTTTTTTTTCAAGTGTGTGAATTTGGTAATTCAACTGGGTGCAACTGCCATTGGAGCTTCGTGCTTAGGGTTTTAAGTTCGTTTGTGGGTTTTGATTGTTCTTCCTTGGAGGAAATGCTTATACGATTTGAGAAGACTTGTTTGGTCAATGGGGTTTTAGAATTTAGAACTTTTGGTAATGAGTCAACTGGTTTGGTTGACTTCAAATCTTGAGGTTTTACTTGGACATTTCGGAGCTTTCAAATTAGGGGTTTTCGATTTTGTGCCTTTTTGGGGTAATGAGTATGTTCTTTTTAGGTTTCTTAATCATTTTTCGATGTTTGTATGCGTGTGTGTTTGTGCTTTAATTTTCAGTTTTGAATTTCGTACTTTTTTTTTCCCCACGAAATAAGGTTTTTGAAGAAGAAATTCTGCATTTTTAATATAGTTTGGATTCGGCGTTTGAGTTTGATTAGATTCCGACGAGATGGTATTGTAAATTTTGAGGTCAAATTCCATTTTGGATGGATTCTTCTGTTCTTGATTCCCATATATCATGTTTGGACACCCTAGTCATTTCATAGAACTCATAATCATAAATATGCAATCACAATAATTTTGACTTTTCTATGCTTATTGGAACAGTGGGGTTGCTAAGGAGGCCATGGCAGTGTCGTGGCGGCTGGAGCATGGCATGAAAGCTTTCTGGTTAGTAAGGGAATTTGAATAGCCTTGTTCATAGCCTTGTTTGTTTGGTTATTTTACTTGTTTAGGATACCTCATTGTGTTGACTTAATTAGGTTTCATTTCTTGAAGTTGAGATGAAAAGTATCTTTGTGAATTTATATTTGGAAAGAATGGAAGTTTTTCTCTTTTCCGGATGAGAAAAGGGAGTTTAAACACGTGGATGTTTAAATGCTGGATGTAGTGAATGCACATCTTGCAGCTGTTTGATCATGTTGACTGGATGGTATCCATCAAAGTGATCCCTGACGTTAAAAGGTGTCTTACGTTGTTGTTGTCGTCACACAGGAGAAACAAACTATATATGCTTGTATTGAAAACTGCAGCATCTTCTTTTAAAAGTTCAATTTTGGATGTAGATTTATTGAATACTGTGCTTTGAATGGATGGCTCAGCATATGATGTAAGAGAATCAGCAGTTAATTACCATATTCTTTTACATGGGTACTGATTGTTGTGGGAAAGATAACTTTGGTAATTAATCAACTCATATCCCAATTTCCTAGGTGAAATGTTGCTTTTCCTACTTGCTGATTATCATTTGTAGCTCATTGGTGTGCAAGTTTTATTTGCGTGCTGATGAGCCTTAAATTTTTGGGAGTTTTAACGAAAAGCCCACGGTACTGTTCACTGTAACGAAAAACCACATTTTTACACTAAAAAGTCAATCTTGGTACTATTCACTTTACCCTTTATTTTGTCCTTATCGTTAAAACTCAAAGTTTTCAAGCCCTTTTCATTAGTTTTCCTTAATTTTTTTCCTTCCTGAACAGATACATGAGCGACAGTTTGGTACAGTTTTTTTAAGACTTCAGAAGACTTGGAGTTTAGATTGCTAATCATCACTACTATGAATCTTTGATTAGATACCCAGACAGAGATACGTTGATCCCACTACAAACTGTATGTTGCTTAATTTCTGTACTGCATGGTTCCCATTGTTATGGAGATTGGTATCATTTACTATATTCTTATCTTGATTTTTTTTTTCCTGACAGAGTCAAGATTGTGGTGCACATCACAAGTACAGTTCAAATGCCATCTTTCAAAATGAAGGCTCAATCAAGCACAGGGTGTTTACGAGAAAAAAATTGTCTTCGTGTATGTCAAAGGTCAAGTGTGATTTCCAAGAAAGCATGTGTTCATGCTAGGAAATCTGAACATACAGAAGATTTTGACACTTGTAAAAATTGTCAGGAGGGTAAGAAACTGAACAGAAAGATGTTGACGTTTGATCTATCATATAGCATTAGAGTAAATACTCCATCATGTATCTTTGTATTTACGTGATCAAGCTATCTAATATTGACTATCCAGATTTCAATATTACATGCAAGTTTTTGTGGGTAATATTGTAAAATATGATACTAGGTTGCACTGCTAAGCAAAGTCTGAAGAAAAAAAAATTCAGAATCATAATCATCCAAAGTTTGTGTTAGTTCTCGATGCATTTGAGCTCTCTGGCTTTCTATTTTTGTAATTTGAGACTTTTAAAGATTGTGTAAAATGCTTATATTCAAACACTTCTTATGATTCTCACTGAGCATACAATGGACATTGATACAATCCATGCACTATGCATCTTAAGTTTTTGCTTAATTATTAATATTAGAGCTTCTTATTATTCTCATAGTTTCTTCAAGCACACAAGTTTCTACTCTAGAAATTGGAAGTGATGAAGCAACTGAACATCAGGAATTTCTGGGTGAACAAATTGGTCAAATTCAGCAGCAGTCATGTGATTCTTCCACCAAAAGAATGGTAAGTATTTCGAAGTTATAGTGTTGTGGGTACCATTTTTTTCAGTTTGTCATTATGGGATGTCTTTCGGTGTATTGCGTTTCATTTCATGATGTTCCAGTTACCCTGCAAATGAAAATTCATTATTCCTTATCTTTGTCTTCTTGCTCAAGGTTTTCTAGAATTGCACCTTATGGGCCTTAGAATTTCTTGTAAGCTTGTATACCAACGGCTATTTATTAATTTCAGGACTCCTTTCACGCCTGCCCATCAAACTTAGAGACGATTTTCTCTCCTGCTTTGGAGTCCGGTGAAGTCAACGGCAAACAAAATAGTGAACCAAATGCTGACATTGATGCAGGTATGCCTTAGACTCAGTTGATTGAATACGTAGAGAATCTACTGAGTATTTTTCGTTTTTCCATTGACACCCCAGCCAAAGTTGGAAAGACAACCCCTTCTCTGTTATTTTTTTACAATTAAAAAAGGAACAAATAGGATTGGTATATGTTAGCCCTGAACCACGTGGAAATATATCCTTGAACTTTATTCAGTATATATAGGTTATTTCAGCAAAATTCAACCACTTTTAGGTGGTCAGTGTGCTTTGAATAAATAATCTAATCTTCCTTGTCATTTAAGTAATGTTATGTGTTCTCTGACAAATATCTAGTATGCTAATCTTTTCCTGCCTTTTCAGGGTTAGGAACTGGTGACAGTGATGATAACGGAAGTTCATGTAATAATCGAAATTGCGATGTATCAGATTTCTATATTTCTGATATGATCATTTCAAGCTTACCCTTCGATGAGAATGCATTTCATGATGATATTAGTGAAATGAATTACTTTCCAGACTACAAATATGCTGAAACAAATATGTTTTTTGATGTGTCTGAGCAATACATGGTATTGCCTTTCCTAGAAGACACAATCAGAAGCAGTAATTTTTATACTAATGATGACAAATCATGTGAAGAAGCCATGGTAGATACAAATTGTGCTGGAATGTATTTGGGAATTGGTCAGATAAGCCCCTGCAACCAGGAAACGGTTGTCAACTCTTCCGACTCAGATCAGGCAGAGTCCTTTGATCCACAGTTGTTTATAAAAAACTTACCAGAATTATCAGATGTGGTATCAAACTATCAACCCAACATTTTGCCTGAGGAAGCTTCAAAAAGAAAGTCTGTAACACTTGTGCTTGATTTGGATGGTAAGCAACGCTATACGTATGTGTTTTCATATGGTTATGTGCCATCTTGTCATCATTTAATGTTACCCCTGACATATTATTAAGATCATTTAATGTTACATGTGGCATATTTTTTAGACCAGTTGGTCCATTTTTATCACTAATTTTGGAACTTTTACTTGTTAATGTTATCTTAAATGACAAATATTCTTTAAATTTCTTGGTGAATATATATTGAATCATTAGTTCCCTCAACAAGTTCATCAAATCCTTTGATCTACGCTACTGGTAGAGAAACTCGTCCTGAGCTCTACATGAAAAAAGTATATTAACAAAAGGTCTACACGCCAACATTGAAACCCGTAATGTTGAAAATTATGAAAACAAGATAGCAGCATTACTACTGAAATTCTGCAAAATTTTGTGTTACCTATTTACGGTCTGCAACATATAGGGTTCTATCAACTGTTTAGTTTGAAGTTTTGGCAGCTCCCATTCACTTTCTCTTTACACATAGGCGTGCAAGAAAACCTTATCTCTTGATAACATATATAATGTTAATATTATATATATTTCTAGTTCTGTGTGCGCGTGCTCATAATGATGACCCAGTTTTGTTAATTTTTGTCTCAAATGTGTTGACAAGTTGTAAATGCCATTTATAGTGCTTATATCGCACCTGTGGTTGGATTGGTATAATATTGGCTATATGTGCTGACAGAGACCACATATACAATCTGGCATTTGTCTAGCAAGCACTGTGTGCTTGCCCCTTCATGGCCACATTAATGCATTCATATGTATATATGTAAGTGTGTGTATTCAAAATTCAGGCTTAGAATACAGTACACCAAGCCTCTAAGAATGTTAGTTTTCCTTTTTCGTTTCTCTGTTTGGTTAACTTTTGTCTGATCTCGTGGGAAAATATTTAATCATTCAGAAATACTATTTCCAAATACGGTTTAAATGATAGGATACAATTACAGACCACCGTACCAATTTTATGCCCTTGACATGGTTAGATCAATTAGTGTTCCGCAGATCCAATCTTCTACTTAGAGATTTTTCAGTTTAATCTCAATGTGAATTTTTAGAGATTCATTTGAGAAATATGTTGTTGATAGGTTGCTGAAAAGTAATGTTGCTATTATACATGCAGAAACACTGGTTCATTCTACATTGGACCATCGAGATGACGCAGACTTCACATTTACCGTCTTTTTCAACATGAAGGAGCACACGGTATATGTGAAACGGAGGCCTTACCTCCAAATTTTCTTGGAGAGAGTTGCAGAAATGTTTGAAGTCGTTATTTTTACTGCCAGCCAAAGCATATATGCAGCGCAACTTCTTGATGTATTGGATCCATATGCAAAGTTTATATCTCGCCGAGTTTATCGTGAATCGTGCATTTTCTCAGATGGCAGTTACACCAAAGATCTGACAGTTTTGGGTGTTGATCTTGCAAAAGTTGCCATAATTGATAATACTCCACAGGTATATCCCGGGTTTTCGTGTTAATTGCTTGGACTTTACTTATTTTTTTCATCCGCCTTGTTTCTTGCATTTCCACTCTATTGGCTGTTCTCTATTATTAATTTTTTTTTTGGCCTACATAAAAACTTATGACGAAACAGTATTCTTTATGTTTTTGAAACTGGTCTTATTAGTTATTACTGATGAAAAAAACCCTAGTCGTACCAAAATATATAAGTAGGCAAAAAAGAGGAGAGAGAAAAAGTTGGAAGAATGAACATTGTTATTACCGGATAAACTGATTGTTTTACCTTTATTCTCTTTTGACCATTTCAGGTTTTCCGCTTGCAAGTTAACAATGGAATTCCAATAAAGAGTTGGTTTGATGATCCGTCCGATAGTGCTTTGATTTCGTTACTTCCCTTCTTAGAGACCCTGGTTAATGCTGATGATGTTCGTCCTATAATTGCCAAGAGATTCGGTAACATGGAATAAGAGTCACTTGCCTTCTCATTTGCTTGAATATAGAAGCTTCTTGCCTCTCTCATATTTTTTTAGCAAATATTGGCCTCTGATTTAGATGCTCCTCGTTCTTTTTTCTTTTAAGCGCATGAGATAAATAGCTATCTAGTAAAGTCTTACTTTACCTTTTGTTAGTGTGCTCTTGGTTCTTGTTCCCTTATTTTCTGCGTTTCAGCTGACAACACTGTGGAATGGGTTGTCTGATTTTTGTTCAAAGGTAATTGTAGGGAAAGTCTTATTTATCCTTGTTGTACAGTTTTAAGTTGTTTTGCTTATCAGGGTGTACACATGGGAAATTATCTATACAATCTTGTTCTTTAACTGGGATGCTCCACTTTATTTTCACTTGATCTCGTGAGATTTAGTTATGCAATTAAATCTTCTTCTCCTTGTTGGCTGTCAGCTCTTCGATCTTGTTTCCTTGTTTTCTTCCTTTCAGCTGACAACACTGCAGAATAGTTTGTTAGTTTTTGTTTCAAGGTAACGGTAAGGAATGCCTATTTGTCCTTATCATACAATTTTAAGTTGCCTATTTGTCCTTAACTATCTTATTGCCATCCTCATAAATCTCTACTATCAAGGATATTCAAACGCTGAATTCTAATGTCATTTTTGAGTAATTTGAATTTGAAAATTCAAATGATAGTCAAGGAAGTAATAATTACTGTAAAAACTCAGGTTGAGCCTGTGATACTGCATATCTAGTAAATAAATTCTTACAGTTCATAAACAATTATACTGGGAACGAAAATGGAAATGCCATAATAATTAACGACGCTGAATACTTTCTGAACTTAAAAGTAAGTCTTACTTCTAATGAACTGTATGATAATGAAATTGAGAACTTTTCTGTAGTTCTGTGAAGGTTTGGCCCTTCTGGATGAGAAACAAGAAACTGGGAGGAACACAAAGAGGAGGACAAACTACTTGTGCATCCTATGTCTACATGGCATCATATTCCCAGAAGACTTGTTTGTACGCTTTGACGGACTGAATTTTTCTGGTTTTTACCATGTTCTAGAGATTAGTTTTAGTTTTATTTTCTTTTCCCGGAGATCCATTTCTCGATTTAATTCAAAATAGCTTGAAAGGAAATGTGAGGGGAAGTAATCTGACTATGCATCAAATCAGATTAGGCATTCAGTTTTGTTTTCTGATTAGGAATTCAAAACCTGTGAATAATACATCAGACTGTATGTTTAAGTGAATTATATACAACGATTCAAGATTGCTCTCGGAATTATGATGCACCTCTTTTCTGATTAACTATATGTAGGACATGGTAGCGTAGGAAGTTCAGGTTGAGAAACGGATTTGTGTCGTACTCGTTATTAGATGCTTAACTGACTGACATCTAAAGTTTGGAAAGTCGTCGTGAGGATGCTTGTGTTAATTCATGATGACCTGCATTAAGAATATAGGTGGTGGTTTTCTTCATGCATACAAAGATAATGCATGTACTGATGGATCAAGATATGTATGAATATCAGCGGGATCGGCCTCCTGCTTGGGTTTGCTGCTATCCTGTTGAAAGAAAGGTTCGAATATCAGAGAGATTAGTTGGGTTGTTAAATTAGCTTGACTAACACTGCTGTTCTTGATCTTCTGCCTGTTTAGTCTTTTGCACTTTTACAAATTTGCATGCGTTGCCTGCAGGTCATGCGGAGAACACTAACACGCATTTTCTGGTAATGTAAGTCTGTTGTCGAGTTGTGTTGCTACTTATTTCTTTAGAGTCTGTAGATTTGTATTATATAAGCATAGAATTTTCCTTCAAGTGACGTTCGAGGCGGGTAGTTGTGTAATTCATGTTTCGAGAATCATTTTATTTTCTGTTCATTTGCTTGTTTTCCCTCTTCATTTGCTTGTTTCGTACTTGCCAACCAATGGCTATGATTATCTTGAATAAATCAAAGCATAGCCGGTGGTCGCCCTTTTTTTAAGGAAAACTAACGAAAAGTCAAAAAAAAACTTTAGTTTTAATGAAAAATGACAAATAAATGTGTAGTGAATAGTACAAGGGAAAGGTAGAAATGTGATTTTCATTAAAAGTGAACAATGCTGGAAGTGTTTCGTTAAAACTCCCTTTCTTTTATCCTTCAACCGGCGGATCACCGCTGTTGCTGCCTATGTCCAAATATTGGTTTTTGCCTGTGAGCGGTAATAGCAACACTGCTCGGCTCCTTACAATCATAGTCTCCTAACATACATGCAAAAATAATTCCGTAAAACCCGAAAAGGGTGGAATTTAATGCACCTATCTTCCGTTATTCTGCTTGAAATTTGAAATGACTCTTTACATGAAAGGTGTCGAGTAAGTGATGATGCCATTCTTGCTAATCGAATTTTTCATGCTTTCACGCGCATGAATGATTTGACGGTAATAACCACACGAAGGTATAGATTGTACGTTCACCATGCAATGCAACAAATCACTAACATACATCGAAATTCGACAAATTCATGGCTGAAGGCTATTTGCAACGCAAAACCATGGCTCAATATACAAGGGCCAGCCTCTGTTGGCTGAGAAGAGCTCGTCACTGTCATTTAATACCCTTTAAAACATAAACTAACCCACCAGAATTCCATGACCATACCAACAAGGCGTCGCATTAGTGCTATAGTTAACGTTGCAACAGGATTACGTTCAAACATTTGAGTTCCAGAGGGGGACTGGGTTTTGTGAACCGGGTTTCGTGCTTGTGTTGCCCATGATGGTAACTCCCTTCACTTCTGCAGACATTCTTCATGAGTTTGGGGAGATACGGAAGATGCAACCGTTCCATAATTATTTGGTGGCATGACGGCTTGGTCCTACATAACCCAAAAACCAAAGGAAAAAAGAAATTTATGCTTGTTAGAAGTGTGGAGACATCGATAATTTAAATTTAAAGATGTCAGCGGATATTTTGGACAGTGGATTGTGCACCACCGTTTTTCACATCATCAGGTTGTAGCTTCAAAGCAAACTAATTCCTCAGGCTTTTAGCTTAACACAATCAGAAGCATATGATGTTTTCCAACATGCTGATAACGTCTTCACAGTTATTTCTTTTTCTCATAACTAATAAGGAGAGATAAAAAATGATGACCTGATAACTATGTGACGGTTTCAAATTGTCATCTCTTAACTTTTGTCTTCCCCCTTGACACTGGCATTACTATAAAATTGGGGAAGAGGGGAGAAAAATAGGAGAAGCCTATGCATCTGTGATAATTTCAAATTGTCATACCTCTTAACTCTTTATCCTTTTCCCCTTATGGGTTACTTTAATCCGAAATTGTTATTTCGCTTGCAAGTTACACAAGATAGTATATTTGATGCATAGGATATTTTTATACTTGTTTAACTTTTATCATGCACCTAGCTAACACCTAGTTTCCTTGACTAGTGGTTTTTATTTGGAGTGATTTCGGTTTAATTTTAACAAGTATCTAGACAATTGCAAATATCATACCTGATGGTGGTAGTTGTCCCGCTGAATCATGGACGGGATATTTTGCTGCTGCTCCTGCATAAGGGACTGTTGTTGTAATGGCTGCTGATGTTTCTGCAAGTACATCAGATGTTGTTCCTGAAGTTGCTGTTGTTGATGAAGTTGCTGAATTTGCGGCTGCGGATGAGGTTGCTGAATTTGCGGCTGTTGCATCTGGAATTGTGGACTAAATTGCTGTTGCGTCTGTAGTTGTTGCAATTGTTGCTGTTGATAAGATTGTTGCTGTTGCATCTGAGCATAATATTGTTGAAGTTGTTGCTGCTGAAGCTGATACTGTTGCAACAAGACCTGCTGCTGCTGTTGCGGCTGTTGCTGCTGCTGTGCTTGATGCATCTGTTGTTGTAGAAGAAACAGCTGCTGCTGCTGGTAGTAATAATACTGCCACATCTCATTATATGCTTGGCTGTTCTGCATGCCATACTGTACGTTGCCTAAAACGGATGATTGGGACATCTGTGGAGGAACAGATTGGACAGGCAACTGAGGCTGAGATGAAGAGGCATAATTTGGTGCTTGTACATTCTGCATAGGCCAAGCATTAGGTGCCATTACATCAGTGGGAGTGGCTGCTGCTTGATATCGATTATGATCCTGGCTGCCTTGCTGAATTTGCGAGCTCTGTGAAGACAAAGGTTGAGGGGGTTGACCTAGAATCCCAGGCATTGGACGACCCGTTTCAGCTTGTGGGTATTTTTTAGGAGAAAGTGGCTTCTGCTGATATGAGTTTCTTTGTAGACGTCCCCGAAAGCCAAATTTGGAATCTCTACGAACTTTACCGGAATGATTATTCTGACGCCAGTCACCATAACTATTTACAGCTGGCTGAGAAGGCATTTGCATTGGCTTAGGACTAACCACTTCATTTCCAGCTGTTTCTAAAGCTCTGGTATTTTTTGGGCTGTAGTCTTCATTAGATTTGCAATTGCTCTCTAGCTTCCTTTCATTTGAAGTATTGGTTTCTTGAGAAGTTTCACGCTTGTGAAAAATGGAGGGTATTGAATCCGGATTCGTATTCTCCTGGGAGCTTAAAGAAAGACTCTCCAATGACAGTGGCTTCAGGTCTTGTTCAGGCTTGTTGTCAATCTCTCGATGAACATCGCTCCTGTCTGTGAGTTCTTGTGAAGATTCTACAGTTTCATTCCCTTCAGCAACTTGACATTCTAATTCAACAGATGATGCCTTTGGTTCAGTAGTATTTTCTCTGGGCTCCTCAGGATTTTCTGAAGATACCTGTTCCACTTTTACTAAACCTACAGATGACAGATTTGCTTCGGGTTTATCATCTCTTGATTGTGTTGGTTGCTCTCTTGAAATTTCTGGAGATGGTAGTTTCCGTGTTTCCTGAATGTTTTCAGGTTGGCTTGATTGAAGGTTGTCGGAGGTAATCTGCTCAAGCTGACTTCCCTGAGATGGCATATCCTGGTCCAACGTATGATCAGTTCCTTCCTGGCCAGACTCGATACTATGATTGTCTGGCAATAACAATTTGCCGTCAACAGTGTCATGCAATGGGAGCACAATCAAGGAGTCAGAACTACAATCTCCAGATGGCTGCTGAGGCATAGCGTCCAAAGTTTCCTCCATTTGTCTAGCCAATTCCAAAGGTTTTCTAAATGTAGGTTTCTGATGGAAAAAAGCTGTCCTTGTAGAGAATGGGAACAGTCGTACATGCCGAGTCCACACCTTTCTTACTTCATGGATGGTTCCACAAAGGTCAACAAACTGTTTCCATCATATACAAGTCAGAACCAAAAGAACCTGATGAAATAGCATAATACTAAGTCTTTAGAGTAAATTACAGTCTTCCCAGAGGTTAGTGAAATTGCCGAACCACCATACTATATTTCCCTCGTACTATAAGAAATTACAATATGGAGAGGCAGAAAGCAACATGTAGCACCTTTTCCCCTCAATCTATTATTTTTCCAAAGACCAGAAATGACAGTATCAACATAAAATTGAGTTAAAAGAGAAATTTTCACCTCTAAATATAAACTTGAAATATCCTCTGCATCTTTTGCATTCAGACCATCAGATACACCTGGCTCTGGAGAGATTGCTTTGGCGACAATAGAGTCTACCACATTTAGGTGTCGCTTCCCTCCATGCATACTTGCGAAATTTATCAACTCCTGAAGACATATCAATCAAGCAACTTTACACTTCTGTAACGAAGTTAAACTTTTATCATGATGATATAATGAGTAAGGTTTAATACATTGAAGCATAGATTCAGACTATGTATTTCCACAACAGGTCCATTCATGATGTGGAAATGTAAATATTCATAAGGTACTAAGAGAAGAGAAATACCTCTAGAAGTGATTTGGAATAAGGTAAGTGTTTGATGCCATCCATCAAGACATCTCTGGCAGCATCTGCATTATCAGTCATCTGTGACAGGAAAGCAAGGAGATGTCGATAATCATATCAAAGTTGGCCACCACATTCATGTACTATAAATAAATGGAAAATCTCCTCAAAAGTCAAATACTAAGGGGACAATGCAAGCATATAGAGAAACAGAAGTTCATATATCAACGAGTTCATAAAAGGACCAACATTGTGTGCTGCATACTACTTTGCCTATCCATACAACAAACCAAATCATTTTTGGAACGTGGACTTATATTTTTATAAGCACAGGAGAGCTGCATTTTCTTTAAGAAATACTATAATAAAACATGGATACTTACTAAATATGCCTAAATGGCATTAAGCACTTTAAA